CGAATGACAATAAAGAAACTCTGACTCTGACTCTGACTCTGACTCTCCGCTTTGCTTTGCTGCTCTGTCTGTCTGTGAAACTGCTGTGAGACTCTCTTGCATTTCTTCCGAACCATAATTATGGACTTGTTTTGACCAGTTGGTCCCTCATCTCAATTTACAACATTTATTAAAAGAGAAGACAGGCTTTGGGCGAGCCGATTTACCCTGTTGGTACGTACACAGCTGGATATCTCATCGACTGGAAGACTTGATGATGTGTCTATCTCTGCTGCCTCTATGGATTTTAAGGACACATATTTAATTGGATTTTTTATAATTGGTTCCTGCTTTTTGGATTCAGCTGGTGCTGGTTTTATCTACAATCAAGGAAGTCGTCAGCAGCAAATTTGGACCCGATCATGCTGCTTGCCTTTATGATGGCTGAGTTCATGTCTGGAGTACCCGGACTCAAATGCTTTGGGCTGAATGGATCAGATCTTGGGGATTTTTACTCAGACACGTTTCCATCGGTGTTGGCCATGTTAATTTGGACATGTCGGATCCGAGTGGACCAAACCCAGACTCAAGGTTGATGTCATTAAGTTCTGCCTGTCCCCAAAACAACTGAGTGTTTATCTAAATTTTGGTCGCCTTGGTGTCCTTGAAGGCCATCTTATCTACAGTCGCCTGGAGAAAATGTGATCTGACGCTCACCACCCCCCTCCCTGAGGAATTTCCAACTGAAAACCAGATGAAACCCCGCTGAAACAATTTTATGTCATCATTTCAGGACTCTGGATTCTTTTAGAGGTTATTCTTGGCCATCTCTCGACATACCTTGAGAATTGACTGATTACAGTGACCTCGAGAGCATCTGTAGGCGTTGTTGACCGGTCTCGTCTCTTCCTTTTCCTGCTCTGCTCTGCAGAATGTCTACGTAAATATGTGCTTGTTTATGCAAAGGGTTTTTTCAAAATTAGGGGTTATTCTCAGTCAAGAAAAAAGTCTGATAGGAATTTTTTTCGCCTCCAATTCCTACATGTGTCCAGTTAACCACTGTTT